TCAGTATAGATCGCATCAACCTGATCTCCATCCTGAAAGGCTGCAAAGCAGTCTGCAGTAAAAACTGCAAGATTGGATACAGTTGACCGGCCACTGACGAAACCATGTTGGTTTGGGCATCTCAAGCTACGGACTGAGAATGACAACTTTGCTTTGATGACGCATTCGAAGATTTTAGAGACAGTGGACAATTTCGAAATCGGTCGATAATTGCTAACATCATTATTATTGCCACTTTTAAAAATTAGGGTTATAGAAGCCTTTTTCCAATCGTTATAAACTCCCCATGGGACAGAGACTTATTAAAAATTATCGTTAAGGGTTCCATTAGGGCGGGACATATATTAAAAATAATGGCGGATAAGCCATCAACATCCATTTGTTTCGAGATTTTCAAAGACTGAATACCCTTTTCAACATCGTCAGATGACAGAGTAATCAACCCAAATGATAGGGCAGAGTCGGAGACACAACTGCGGATGGGACTGCTGTCATGGTCCAACTCGGTCACAGGGTTTGAGCGAAAATACTCAGTAAATAGATTTGCCGCCTCTTCAGGGATATTCACGAGCTTTTCTTTATAGGAAACCGATGAAGGTATGTTCGAAGTAGCTTTCTTGGACTTAATATAGCTCCAAAACGCCTTAGGATTATTTTTGATGTTAGCTTCTTGATTACTTATATACTTTTTATAAAGATATTTGTCGAGATAATTAAACTCTTGTAGGTAAAATTTGTATAGATCGTAGTAAGCAGACGAGTTCAAAGCCTTGTATTTCTTATAGAATTTGTTTTTGCGATTTTTTAAATACTTTAGTTCTTTTGTATACCAGGGCAAAGTTTAGGCCTTCCTGGGAAAAGTAGGAATGAGATCTAAGCACAACTCATAGACATAAGATTTAAGAGTTTTAAAAGTACTTGAAGTGTCTAAATTGCGAGAATGTCAGTCCAGTTATGACCCGTTGAAACTAAGTTCAAATGTTCAAAGTCGCACAGATTATAATTAAACATCGGCCTGAGACCATCAACTGGAGCAGCACAAAATTCATAGGAATGTAGACTTAACACTAGAGGAATGTGGTGGACATTGCCTACGGATATAGGCAAGTTGCACTCAGTTAACTGATAGTTTAAATTACTGCTTAAGAATATCAAATCTAAAAGACGATTTAGCTTGTTAAAATAACTGTTAACTTGTAATAATCCAATACTTAAGAGACTATCTATCGAATACAGATCACTTTCGTCTGATGCGCTTACAGGGGTTAGCCATAATGAGTTGTTGAGTTTACGCCATAATACAGAGCTCACGTTGAAATCACCTAACACATATAGATGATGATCGCCTATTCTGGAACTAAGAGATACGACATTATCTATGTGAGATTTGTAAATAGAGCTTTCTACTATTCGGCGGAATATATAATGCACACAGAAAAAGTCGTCCCGTCGAGCCTTTCAGACTAATACAGAGTTGGTCGAGGATAGTATCCGAGTTTTGTAGTTGGACTAAGGAGGAGTTGTATTTACGCTGGACGGCAATTAATACTCCGCCTCCTCCGCAATGGCCGGTTTTAGATTCATCTCTGTCTTTCCGAAATACATTATACAGATTTGGGTCGAAAAATTCCGAGTCATAGAAGTTGGGATTCAGCCAGCTTTCGATTATAACGAAGGCATCGTAGTCTAAGTGCGAACTTAATCTATGAACCATACTAGCTTTTGTCTGCATTCCGGAGATGTTTTGGAAATATATTTTAAAATTATTCCCCCCATGGCGAGGAGCTAGGTTGGTACTGGCTTATCCACTACTCGTTGAAAAAACGAAAAGGGCGAACAGTGACATTTGCAGGCCAGATCTCAGGCTTAAGCAACTTAGGGAACAAATCCTCGGTGACAGCTAGTTTGAAGTTAACATGTTCTAAATCATCCATTGAGGCAACTTTCTTGACGAGCTTATGACAAAGTAGCGATTGTTTTGTGATACCTTAGTATTTTTCAACATATTCGAGTATGTCATTACAGCCTACAGAAGGCTTGAAGGAAGNATTATTGCCACTTTTAAAAATTAGGGTTATAGAAGCCTTTTTCCAATCGTTATAAACTCCCCATGGGACAGAGACTTATTAAAAATTATCGTTAAGGGTTCCATTAGGGCGGGACATATATTAAAAATAATGGCGGATAAGCCATCAACATCCATTTGTTTCGAGATTTTCAAAGACTGAATACCCTTTTCAACATCGTCAGATGACAGAGTAATCAACCCAAATGATAGGGCAGAGTCGGAGACACAACTGCGGATGGGACTGCTGNATTATTTACTTGGTGGGCTGCATTATTACGGACGTCAACGGCTGGTACTCCAGGCAGAGGAATTTCGGCAGACACTAATGCATCAGCATAACTCAGCCTAGAGACATTGCGAGAAGTAGAGCGAGATGATATTGCCTTATTATGTGTATGCAAGTGTTTGTCAGGCGGTGCTTCGGCGACTGAACTAGTAGATTTAAAATCAGTGTAAACAAGAGAACTAACATTAGGCTGCGAAGCATCAACATCATCATTGGCGGGAGCGGACTGCGAAGCAGTAACATCAACATTGGCGGAAGACAGAGAAGCAGTATCTACCTCTGGTGAAACAACAGCAGCGATAGCGTTGGTAGAATTTTCTGTTGGTGCGTTAGTACAACCACACTTAGAGTGTAATGCAATTTGGCGCAATTCATCAACTTCGGCAGTGAGCGAAACAAGAGCAGCGAGAACGTCTTCGGAATAAAGTTTACGCATGGCTAGTAACTCAGAGCGCAACTGAGTTGTTTGTTCAATAAAAGCTTTTTATTGTCTTGAAGAGCATGAAGTTCCGCGACTGCACGCGCTTGCTCAGAACTAAGCGCTTTGAGCTCACTGTGGATCGTTGGTAGAATAGCTAACTGTTGTTTGATGTCTCTACCATAATCACCACTCGAAATAAGCATTGTTTTGGAAGTTGTTGTTGCCGTAATATTCTCTGGAGCAGGCGAATTTGACGATGTAGGAGCTTGTTGTTGTTGTTGTTTAGCATCTCTGCCATAGTAATCACGCGAAGTAAGCGTTGTTTTTGAAGCTGTTGTTGATGAGATGGGTTTGAATAATTCGTTATATCAGCAGGAGAAGGCAAATTAGATGACTTATTATTTGAAGTCGCGAATACGGCCCGATTAGTGGAACGCGGGCGAGAGTGAAGAGAAAGTCGGCGAGCATTCGCGCATTTTTTGCAAACATATTTGTTGTTGGAATTGGAAAAATAGTCTAAATCAGCAGGCAAAACACCAACACAGTTGGGATGGTATATTTCGTTACAATTATTGCATTAGACTTTAGGGTTCGCCCGATCAACTTTTTGGTTGCAAACACACGGCATAGTAATGGATAATATTCATATCAATATTATTTGAAACGACAAGAGTCACTGTCTCATTGCACTAGGCAAAATGTCGAAATAAGGATCACAATAAATTATGTTTATGAGAAATATTTAGAGCGCCCTAAAGACACGTCCGCACAGTACGACGACAAATTCGAGTTCTTATGTAACCGTCAAGCATTTCGCTCAATCCACATACTAAAATTTTCGGATTTCTCATACTTGGTAATTGTATATCATATTTTTGACCCACTTTTTCTCTAATACCGCTAGCTAATATTTTTCACGCTTCCTCACTTTCACACCGTATTGCCACTGCTCCATTCTGCCTATTTTATATTCCGCTCATACCTACACTCAACGTTGACGGTTTGATTATTGTTTTTACTTCTCTCTTCGTTACTTCACTTTGTTGGTTTCAATATGACGGGAACGTTTCCAGCTATTGGCTTTTTCACTTGGTCGGCATATGTGCTTGCTCACGACTCTCTTTATTTTGAATTTGGTCTGAGATTGTTATGGTACGCATACTTTGGAAGCAGCAGTGACTGCAGGCGGCATGACACAATGGGGTGCACTGTGGCTAGTCATGTCGGCTGGCGGGGTTCTTGCCCCCACTACTGTTCCCTGCACCATAGCAGAGAAAAGTCATGCCTGTCAAATATCCCAACGGACGGACACATAACAATTCAAAAATAAAAAAAAATCCGTTGACACAAACAAAAAATCTGAAAGAAAACGTTAAATTTAAATATTTAAAATAAACTTAAAAATTAGCAGAATCCAACCTAAACCTGAAATAAGAAGAAATAAACCAAAAACAACAAAAAAAAACCTAAGGCGAATATGAGGCACCACCGCTGGTATTGTGGTGCCTGGTGCTAGCCCACCCTCGTCGCACCCTAATGTCGGTAGCCCCAAAATATAAAGTTAGGAATAAAAGTCAACATTCCCATTTATATTTATAAATTTATTTACAATTCATTTTCTTAATACTAATTCCTAAAGGCTAACTAAAATCTAAATCTTAACATCAAAAAAAAAGGTAAGTATGCTTAATAACTAACTAGGTGTACCTCTTAGGTCTATGGTATGTAAGTATAATTAAGTAAGTGTAGGTATGTAGTAAATTTTATAGGTAATTCAGTCAGGTCGGTAACTCCAGTAGCAAAATCAGGTAGGAAAATCCGGGAAGTATATTACAAAACAATTGAATTGAGTTAAGCAGGTAAGGGTATGTATGGTGAGTCCGGTAGGTATATCTAAGGTAAGTCAGGTAAGTATAGTTAACAAAAAAAAATAAAAATAAAATTCAATTAAGTTTAGTAGTTATTTTATCTAATAAACTTGCCCTATATTTCTAGATTTATTGGTTTTGATTTCCTTTTAGGTTTTTTAATCCTTTTCTTTAAATCTTCTTTTTCACTATTTTTTTCTTTGTATACCAAAAAAATGTATATTTATATGTAATTTATTTCTTCATTATTTCTATTCTTATTATTATTATTATTATTATCACGTTAATTCTTTAGTTATATAGTGAATTTAAATTTATATTATTTAAATTTTTATTAAATCGTAGATTATGGTTAATTTATACATCAGGTTATTTTAGTTGTATACATATTATTAACGAAAATTCCATTTCAAAAATGCATTTTCAAGAAACTTCACCCCAAAACATAATCGGTGTTAGTCGAGTCGAATAACATTAGTGTTCTAGGGTTAATTTCGTACAATTTTGGTTTTACTCTTTACATCCCTTATTATTTTTGGTTCTTATATACATACATACATATTTTCTACTTTCAAGTTATTACACTTCTATCGAGTTGACATTCACATTTAGTTTTGTTAAATTGTCCCTATTTTATGGCAACTTTGTTTTAAAATTTTTTTTTTAGTTTCTTGTCTACATTTATTTATTTTTTATTTAATTATTATTATATATATGTATATATTTTTTAGTCAATTTAATAGTTTTTCATCAAGTCAATTTAATAGTTTTTCATATAATTATTTGGGCCAAATTCTTATTTGTTATGTTTGCTGGGTTGGAGCTGCTTCGGCCGATAGAGTTAAAAAAGCGAAAAAATTAAATTTTCCGTTTACCCTCCTACGCGTTTCAACGCTCTCGCGTCTTCATCAGGGAGTCTTTATTCGAAAAATAAAAACAAATAAACAATAAACATGATTAGCAAGTAAAATTCGGTGATGCAAAAACAATAAACATAGTTAACGGCAATTACTTTACACTAATTGACTTTGAACCCACATTTACATAAATATTATTGGCAAAAATTGTTTAACAAACGATAAACGTTAGCACCATTTTAAGTATCTTTTCAACAATATTACCAAATTCGAATCCTATATTCTTATTTATATTTGTTATTGATTCCAGCTGCATACACGTTGTTGGTGTTATCTACGTCCTCTTTAAAGTTGATCGCATTCTCAAGTCTTTGTTGTATACGTAGGCTTTCTAATGTCATTCTCCTTTTTACCCCTCTTTCGATGTCCAAAATTCTCGTATTCCCGAAGTCCGCAAAGTGTTCGTGCTTCGTCAAGCGTTGTGCCAGTTCTGTTGTCATCTTTTTGTTTCTCTCATCCGCTTTATGTTCGCTTATTCTTGAACCCAATGATCTTTTTGTTGTGCCTACGTAGCATTTGTTACAGCTTTCAGTATCATTCCCCTTACATTCTATTTGATACACCACATTATGTTCAGAATTCTGTCTTTTGTTTTAGTGTACAGTTTGCTTATTGTGTTGTGCGGTCTGTGAGCATATGTAATATCTTCATTCTTTATTGTTCTCCTGAGCGCCTGGTTATTTGTTAGTCCTGGTACGTAAGTTACTCCAATGTACTTTTTATTGTTAGCTGTGTTGTTAGCCTGAAGATCTTTATTTTGATTTGTTTGTTTACTTTTGCTTATCGTCGTTGCTATTAATAGTTTTTCTTTTTCTTATTTCGCATACATATAAAAACGTAGGTGTGTATATATAGGCCCGAAGGACTCACCCCATGTTGCAGCAGGCCATGGTAGGTGCACTGCTGTTGTTGTTGTCGCTGGTATTGCGCGCTTTCGTTGTTGACGTTGCGCGCTGTTGTTGGTGTTGTTGCGCGCGGCTGTTGTTGACGTTGCGGTTGCTTTTACTTGGACTGTGCTTTTACTTGCACGATGTATTTTATTACATTTGAAATCACAACCGCGCGTTGTAAGATGCGTTTTCTTTCGTTTAATTTTCACTTTTCGCACCAGTCGCTAATGATAGAATGGCAAATGGTTGACTGCAGAGTTGCCAGCGGGTTTTTATATCTTTGCACTGTGGGAATATTCCATTTGGAAGAATAACGGGCACTGCGTCATTTGGACTAGTTCCGTTACTCTTCCAAATGGAATTTGCCGCAGTGCAAGGAGGAATATCCAAAAAAAATCCAGGGTTGCCGTGACTCCTTTGTAAGTGTTTTTACCGGACTTAACCGCAAAAAAAATCTTTGAAAATTTCTAGTTTACAAATTTGACAGTTTCGTGGTGGATACGAACGTCAGAATTTTATCTAGCTCATGTGCTAGGTAAAATTTTACAGCTTCTAGGTGTAATCAGTCTTATCATGAGTTTCATTTTTTCCGAACCGGTTCACTTTTTCAACTCTTGGTTTCCATGTATTTACTATGGGCGGATGAACAATTTTCGGGCGAAACTCAGGATAAGGCAGAATATTGTGGGCGGTAATAAAGAATGAAAATCAAAATGGAATCTGACAAAACAAAAGAACGTTCGTTACTTGCAAGTTATAAAATAGATGTAAATTTAACAATTTCAGCAACACACAAAATAGAGCTTCTGCAGAAGCGTTTGTGTGGTTTTTCCCAACTGTCAAAATTTTCCTTTGCGGTTGGTACAGAAAAACAAAATTTATTCGTACACCATGCTGAAAAAGCTACCGATTGCCACTGGCTCTATAACAGAATATTGATAATGTTGCCGCCAGAACGCTTTAGTACAAAGGAAAAAGTAGCTGTCAAACTACCAAGTCACCGCAATAGATGCCAAAATCTCTCAAAAATTCTATTCTGGTAAGTCCGGTAGGTATGTCTAAGGTAAGTGAGGTAAGTATAGTTAACAAAAAAATAAAAATAAAATTCAATTAAGTTTAGTAGTTATTTTATCTAATAAACTTGCCCTATATTTCTAGATTTATTGCTTTTGACTTCCTTTTAGGTTTTTTAATCCTTTTCTTTAAATCTTCTTTTTCTCTTTTTTTTCTTTGTATACCAAAAAAAATATATGTTTATATGTAATTTATTTCTTCATTATTTCTATTATTATTATTATTATTATTATCTTGTTAAGACTTTAGTTATATAGTGGCCATTTATCTTTTATTTTATTTATTAATCGTTATGAATTTAAATTTATATTATTTAAATTTTTATTAAATCGTAGGTTATGGTTAATTTATACATCAGGTTATTTCCCCATTGGTATGTTTATTTAAAATTATTTTAGTAGAATTTTTTATTAAATTCATACTTTCCTTTCACTTTACATCAGGTTATTTTAGCTACGTAAACTTAGTTTATTTAAAAGTTCTACTAAATGGTAGTTTATATTATTATTTTTTAAGTTAGTTCAATTTAATTTGATTTAATTTTAGCTTATTTAATTTCCGTTTTATTTTATTTAATTTCACATTTGGTTAAGGTAATTTAGATTAATTTTATTTATATTTATTTAATTTACTCTGATTAAATTTTTTTTGGGTTTAGTTAATCTCAATATACTATTCTTGCTTTATTATTTTACGTGACCCTAACTCTTATTCCCTATATGCATATATGCCTATGTATGCATGGATATATATGCGTATATACTTGTTTATGTTTGAAATTTAATTTGATTTTTTTCTACTCTTTTGTTGAAAGAATTCTAGGTTCCTGTCTTCATTTAACCCTGGAACACTAATCATCTTCTTAACACGTTAACACTAATAATTAGTCGAATCGAGTTTAATTAACGAAAATTCCATTTCAAAAATGCATTTTCAAGAAACTTCACCACAAAACATAATCGGTGTTAGTCAAATTTTGGTTTTACTCTGTACTTCCCTTATTATTTTTGGTTCTTATATACATACATACATATTTTCTACTTTCAAGTTATTTCACTTGTATCGAGTTCACATTCTTTAGGTTTGTTAAATTATCCCTATTTTATGGCAACTTTGTTCAAAATTTTTTTTTTTTCTTTTATTACTTTCTTGTCTACATTTATTATTATTTTTTTGTTATTTAATTATTATTATATATATATATTTTTTTTAAGTCAATTTAATAGTTTTTCGTTTTCTTATTTAGCATACATATAAAAACGTAGGTGTGTATATATAGGCCCGAAGGACTCACCCCTTGTTGCAGCAGGCCTTGGTAGGGGCACTGCTGTTGTTGTTGTCGCTGGTGTTGCGTGCTTTCGTTGTTGGTGTTGTTGCGCGCTTCTGTTGTTGACGTTGCGAGCTGCTGTTGTTGGTGTTGCGCGCTGCTGTTGTTGACGTTGCGCGCTTTCGTGCCTGGGTGCTCACCCCGGTTGATGCCCACTCCCTGGTGAGTTGCTGGTGCTTCTGCTACTGATGCCACATTTATGCAGGTGTTGCCGCTACAGTGAGGTGGTTGTGATGCCGCTTTGGAGCGGTGTTGCTTCGCGCAACCATTGTTGTCGATGTGCTGTTGTTGTTGTTGTTGCGCCCTTCGGTGGCGTTGGATGCTGCCGCCTGCGGTTGTTACGCTGGCGTTGCGGCCACCCTTAATTTGGTGGTTTGCCGATGCCGCTCGGGCGGTCGTGGTCTAGTGTTGCGGTGGATGGCTGAGTCACCCCCTAGAGACAATAAAAGTAATTAGGGTTAGGGTCATAATTTAATGATTCATCCTATCAGGAGCTCCGCTTTCGTCCGACCTCGTTCACTATTCCCACTTTGCTCATGTGTGACTTATTTTTGCGAACTCGAGATAAGGATTACTATATCTACATACATATATACATATACACTTATAGCTGCCGTTCACTTAAAGTAGCCTAACTCAATTCGAGGGTTTAATACAACAACAAAAAAAGCTTAAATCTTCTATAATATAAATATTTGTGAGTTTGTTACTTAAGTGTTTTTTGTAGAAACGTATTTGGTTGAAAACTACTTGGGCCCTTTTCCCCGAAACCTATTTCCCCTTAAAAAAATTTCATTTCGATTTAAGTGAGGTTAAGGGTTTTTTTCTGTTTAGCTTGGAACCGCAAACAAGGCAAACCAAATGGGTTTTCTCAAGAGACTATTATAAAAACCAAATTTCGTCTCTCCTCGACTTAGGCGAATTTGAAAGAAAACAGCACAGATATCACTGGTTTAACAATATACAGAATCATTCCAAAACCTCAACCTTGCGGGGAAACGCACTCAAAGCTTGAATTATTTATACAGTTATTAAGCGGAGCATATTTCTCCTTGTCAAGCTCAGCAATTATACGATGAAATCTCTCAACACGCAAGTATTGGACAGCTTCTGTATACCACCCAACGTGCGATACACATACGTATAGAAACATTGAAGTAATACAACATACTTAATCCCTAGAGGGATATTATGCAGAGCTCTTCACAGGCTACGTGGGTGAAAATGACTGCCTTGCCCGAAGACACGGTGGTAGTTAGCCAGCAATGTGTGGTACGAGCGCCCAAAGCGATACCCCGTTGGTGTAGCAGGTTTCGTACTCTGCGAGTCCGTGGTATGTAGTCCCCGGAAGTTGGGACCCTACTTGCCAGGTGGGATTGCAGGAATATGCCGTGCGAGTTGCGGCATTTATTCTAGCAGCGGCGTAGCACGGTTCACCTCTGCTTTTTACTGCACGATATATAGTTTTTATTTATTACTTCTTTTTTTTCACTATGCGGTTGCGTACTTTTTTAATACTGTACTTTTACTTGCACTATGTATTTTATTACATTTGAAATCACAACCGCGCGTTGTAAAATGCGTTTTCTTTCGTTTAATTTTCAATTTTCGCACCAGTCGCTATTGATAGAATGCCAAATGGTTGACTGCAGAGTTACCAGCGGGTCTTTATATCTTTGCACTGCGGGAATATTCCATTTAGAAGAATAACGGGCACTGCGTCATTTGGACTAGTTCCGTTACTCTTCCAAATGGAATTTGCCGCAGTGCAAGGAGGAATATCCAAAAATATCCAGGGTTGCCGTGACTCCTTTGTAAGTATTTTTACCTGACTTAACCGCAAAAAAAATCTTTGAAAATTGCTAGTTTACAAATTTTACAGTTTCGTGGTGGATATGAACGTCAGAATTTTATCTAGCTCATGTGCTAGGTAAAATTTTACAGCTTCTAGGTTTAATCAGCCTTATCATGAGTTTCGTTTTTCCCAACCGGTTCACTTTTTCAACTCTTGGTTTCCATGTATTTTACTACAGCAAAATTCAATTTATTCGTACACGCACATGCCGAAAAGCTACCGATTGCCACTGGCTCTATATCAGAATATTGATAATGTTGCCGCCAGAACGCTTTAGTACAAAGGAAAACGTTGCTGTCAAACTACCAAGTCACCGCAATAGATGCCAAAATCAAGCCCTGATATATATTTCTCTCTATATTCTTACATTTGTGTCAAGATATAAACTCAATCCTGTGAAGACGGGCAGTTACAGACAGCTGTCACAACTATCACCAGCCTCCGCGAGAAAGCGTTTATTAACCGAAAAAAAGTAGGCAAACAGACCTGCAGTAACCAGTGACAATCAGTGACACTGTCCGAAAGGAACACAGCTGTCGCAAAATGGCAGACCTTCCATGCAGTTTTGGTGTTGCCGTACGCTCTAGAAAAATTATTAGATGGTGAAATTTATGGCACGCTACCGGGTGCGCTATATACCGAAGAATAAAGTATTTATATGTTGCGGGCGAACAGTAACCCATAACAAACCTGCTTCACTTCACGAATCGTCACAGAAGTGAACAGGAAAAGGGTTAACTGTCTTCGCAAGGCCCCCGCAAAAAAGTTAGGTGGTAAAATCACAAGAATGTGGGGCACGACTCACCCCTGAGATATAGAGTCTCAAAAAAAAAGAAGTATTTAGCCGGGCAAGGAATTACAACCCCGTAGTTGCGTCAGGTGGCAGTTAGGGTTCGCCCGACTCAGTATTGGTATTCTAATAAGTTAAGTTTGATGTTACGAAAATACCGAGGTCAACGCATTTGCTATATTCCGCGTTAGTATTCGCTTGTAATGCTGGGTGGACTCGTTATTGTGTAGCTGGTTTCTGGAACAATAAGCCTACTGATCTGGTTAATACTGAGTCGGCTTCTATCATTCTTGTATTCTTAAAACAATGGATTTAATGTTTTAAAAGCTTCAATCTGGGGTTTCAGTACGTCAGGGTTGTTTTCGTAATTCTGGTAGTGAAAAAAAAATAAAAGTTGTACCAGAGTTTGCCTGGCGTATTCGACTCAGAAACTCAATCCCGGTTGCGTAACTAAGTGTGGTTTGAATAAGCGTTCTTTTCGAAATGCTTGAGTCAGAATTATACCGAGTAAACTCTGGGGAAAAAATTCAAGTCCGGTATTGCGGTGGTTCTCTATTTTTTTAGGCCAGAGAAGCCTATCCCCCAAAGTGCCGAGCTTAATCGGTCTTAACACCCTGCTCCCACTAGTACAACACCGCTAGAAAGAACACAGGTCAAGCTGTCCTGAAAAGGACACTTGGCCGCGAGTTTATAGCCATCCGTCGGCTGGGAAAAACGAGTATATATTTATTTTGTTTCCTATTCATTATGGCATTGCGGACCAGGAGACACTTTCTTAAAGGAGAACACGTCAAAACTCCGAAATGAATTAGACATTTTGATCAGGAGAACTCGTCAAAACTCCGAAACGCATTAGACATTTTGATAAGGAGAACTCGTCAAAACTCCTAAAAGACGATCCTAATGGGAGTGCGGATTGTCAGGCAGTTCACGACTCCCGCAGGGAGCGCGCGTGAACGTCGCAAGAATATAGATGCTCGGGGAGGATACTGGGCGGTTTTTCCCCGACCGTCAAAGCGCCCAGTGAAAAGGAGAGTAAGAGAAAAAAAGATAATCTATTCACATTCGTTGGCTAGAGTTAGCCTCCCCCCACTTGCCGAACTTAGTCGGTCTTCACAGTACGGCCCCTCCGGTAGTCCAGTAGCTCGTCTCTGTCTCGATTCTCTACCTGGGTGAATTCATATATGAATTCGCCGCCTTGTTCTCTGTCTAATAAGTAGTAGAGAATGACGTATATTCTCTACCAGCAGAGAAATAATCGGTAGGGAAGAGTTACAGAAGCGAGTTACAGCCCTATATGACTTAGCTTCGAGGAAAAGCCATGCAAAGTTGGACACCGGGCAGTCGCGGGCGGTCAAGGTTTTACCCTATCGCTAAGTTTAATATTTGAAAAAACGTGCATATATAAAAATTTTTGGAACTACTTTACTTTCGCATCGCCCTTCGTGACGGATGGCATTGTCACGGCCGAATGTCAGATGCATGGAACCTACCGATCGGTTTGCCATTCAAGTCCTCTAAATCGTACAGAGCATTTCCTACCTTTCGCACAACATGACACTTGATATATTTAGGCAAGCATTTAGCATTAATGCCTTGCTTAAAATTGCTAAGAGCGAAGTTTTCTGGAATACTTCTTGTCCTTCCCGGTAATTCACCACCCGCGTACGTTTGTTGTACGTGTTCGCTACTCTGTCTTGCGCTAGCTCAAGGTTCTTTCGTATGGTAAGCTAATTTACATTTGCCGACGCCGCGTTTTGCATCGCCTTCAAAAATACGTGTTTAGAAAGATGGTCTAGCACTATAAACAAAAACAGGTTTCTTAGCTTTGATCATGGATATGGACCTAAGAAATCGCAATAACACTTGATAGAAGCGACCATCTTGCCAGCCTACCGCTCAAGTCTTTTTGTGTCATTAGCCACTTGAGACTTGAAAGGTCAGTAATTATTCGAAAAGGTAATCCCTCAATATATGGTCTAAAACGCTTGACACTAACTATTCCGCTGAGCATTATTCAGCTTCTTTGATACAAAAGCTATGGGGTGCTCTGCCCATTCCTCATCGAGCTGGAATAACACGTCTTCTAGCCCTACTTTGGACGCATCACTTTGGATCACGAATTCTTTGGTAAAATCGGGTTGTGCCAGGACAGGCGCTGAACAGAGTGCAACTTTAAGCTTTCCCAATGCTTCAACTACCTCAGGAGTTAACTTAAATGGACCAGGTGACTTTCGAAGGCAATCTGTCATTGGACCCGCCAAATCTGCAAAATTGGTAATAAACGACCTGTACCAATTTGCCATTCCTATAAACCTGCGAACCTGACGAGGAGACTTGGGAATCGGAAAATCCTTTATGGCTTCTATTTTGCCTGGGCCTACTTTCGAACAACCATTCCCTATCAAGTACCCGAGATACCGAATTTCCTTCTGGCAGAACTTGCTCTTCTTCACGTTGATTGGAAGTCCCGCTTCCCGTAAACATTTCGCCACTTCCTTCAGCAATTCCAAATGATCTTCGAAGTTTGAGCTGCACACCATCAGGTCATCCAGTCAGACAAAGACGTTCTCCCGCAATCGTGAAGGGATAGCCTTATCCATCAGCCGACTCATTGTTTGTGGTCCGTTGCACAGGCCAAAGGGCAATACTTTAAAGTGGTACAATGGCTTTCCTGTAACCGCAAATGCCGTTTTCTCCTTAGACGATTCCGTTAATTTGATTTGGAAGAAAGCATCCTTCAAATCAATACCTCTTATAAAGTATGTATCCATTAATATGGGGCAACGGATACGAGTCCTTCTTGGTGACCGCGTTCACCTTCCTGGAATCTATGCACAGCCTCACTTTGCCTCGTTTCCGGACTAGTACCACTGGACTACACCACGGTGAATTCGATTCCTCAATCACTCCCATCCTGAGTAGCCTTTCAATTTCGCTATAGGCTTTTGCCTGCCTGGGTGATGAAAGAGGAAAGTGCTTACTTTTAATTGGCACCACATCCCCCGTGTCTATATGGTGCGTCACTAAACTGGTTTGACCTAGTCCTAGCTTTTCGAACGAGGGAAACTCCTGAACAACTTCTTGCAATGCTACCTTCTGATATGGTGTGAGCTAATGGAAGTTTGGCTCATATACATTTGGAAAATCGAAACAAGAAACGGTTGGAAATACATCGGATGCTAACGCAAATGCCTTCCAGAAATCAACTCCCAGGTATGCTTCTTGGATTAATGACGGTGCAAGATAAAATCGAATAGTCCTCGTAATATTTTTAAAAGTGACCGTTAAGGATATCGAACCGAGTATTTTCTGCTGATTTCCGCCAGCTGTGTAAACAAACGCGAGCAAAGGATGATATTTTAATCTGGTTATTTTTAGGAAATCTTCGCATCAGTGTTGCCGCGAATCATTTTTAGTGGTAGCTAAACTCTTAAAAAAAAAAGCTAAAAAAGAGCTAAAAAAGTCGTTGGTAGCTAAACTTTTTTACTTACATATACATATTTAAGTATACACGCAAACATTTTCAATAAGTAATGGTGTAAAAACAATGAACTCTGGAAAAAAAAAATATTTTATCCAAACCTTTTTGTATAAGAGGGGAAATACATACGACACCAGCTTGGTGGCTCCATCAAGTGATTGTACCATAAGGCTCGAAGCATACAACTTACCAGCATGCTGATACAATATTTATTTTTTTACAAATGAGGTCCAGGAAAGATCGAGATGATTAGAGCCGAAATTTCATAATTTTTCTACTATTTTGTTATTTCTTTTCTTTTTTTACTTCAAAACTGCAATATCGTGAACTTAATCTTCAACAAACACGGCTTTTACTCATATAGTGCAAGAAATTTCCATCAAAATACTTTTTACTTAGAAAATTGAGCTGATTTTAACACTCACGACACCAGCATGCTGGTACAGTTATAAAATTTTCAAATAGTTTTTGAGGTCGCAACAGCAGCTGGTACAATCACACCACAAGAACATACACGGTCAATCGACTTGAATAACTCAGTGTGAAGGCAGGACCAGGATAAATGTATTTGCATAAAAATTTATTAAAGCAAAAATGTTTTGGGTAGGCGTCGGAGCCAATGATAACCATCAGTTACCACCTCTGCATGGTTGTAGGTCATGCAGAGTCCCTACGGCTTGTAGCGCTTTGGCTTTGCCGCTTAAACTCTGTACGAGTTTTTGGGGGTGTGCGTCAAGCGGGAGTATTGAGCACCGGTTATTTATTAAAGTTCAAAAATTGGGTAGGCTGAAAGTCATACAGAGCCCCAACAGCTTTTAGCGCTTTGTCTTTTGCTGTTTAAAACCACTCCGGAGGAGTGGTGATGCTTCAAGCGAGATTGTTGAGCATGATTTGGGGTGCCAGCAATTAACTACTTTAGTAAGTTTTCTTCTGCGGCAGTTGAGAAGTGCATAAAAAAATGCATACCCAATGAAGAACGAGCGAATTATTTTTAAACACAAGCGAGCGTGCTAGGCGAGGTGAAGTGAGCTGTACGGAGATGGCAACGTATACATATTAACGACTACACACTTATTTTCAAGTAAAAATGCGTGTATGTATGTGTACTTTTGCGACAACTGAGCCAGTGTGGCATCAGGGTACCAGAAAATTTTCCAAAACATACATATCCATTTCTTCACGTTTTTATTAATAAATTAATTTAAATACTGTTTAAGCCTGCAGCTTAAGTTTTAGGATACAAACTTCACCGAGAGATGTCGCTGCCAACCACTCGCTAACAGGACTCGTTACTTTATCTCCCTTTTGGCACGAGTCCTGTTAGTCGATCCCGTTGTCAAATTCCACCGTCTGTGGACTCTATAAATGCGGCAATTGAGTATAGCCTCCTTCTATTCTATTTTGTGATCGACAGCCAGCGACATCTCAGGTGAGTACACTCATGTTTTGTACATATATTTGTTCAAGGGTCGTTTTCGAAGTAATTTTTTGCGTAGAATCCGAATCCGGGGTTTAAATTGCTCTATCACGTCAGGATTTCAAACGTAAACGTGGTATTTTAAAGTATAAGTCTTCCTCTTTTAAATGCCGTTGAGTTTGCTTAAATATCTTTATTTTTCACTGAGATATCGCATTTTGAAGTTTCCATGTTTGTGAATTTTTCGATATTCGAAAATCCATTGAGATAACATGAGACGTGATACGGTCGATTACATTCACAAACATGGAGATTTCAAAATGCGATATCTCAGTGAAAAATTAAGATATTTGAGCAAACTCAACGGCATTCAAAAGAAGAAGACTTATACTTTAAAATACCAGGTCTACTTTTTTATGAAGAGCAAAATCTTCGTAGCTACATAACCTCAAAAATGGGCAAAAACAGCGTTTTTTGCACTTTTAGGTTAGGATATCTCAAAGTCCTGACGTGATAGAGCAATTTAAACGGATTCGGATTCTACGCAAAAAATTACTTCGGAAATGACACTACACTTTTATAGAACATTCCGAACCCATTTTTTTGCAGACCTGTGTTATCTTAAAGAATCGGCTCCCCCAATGGTCCCCGTTGCCGGAATCACGAGGATTCCCGGCCCCTAAATTACCCCGCTCGAACGTGGTAAGATAATCTTTTTTTTGTTCATTAATTTTGCGATTTTTAAAAGTAATAATTATAATTATCTCAATAAAAATATACTTAACAAAAATTAACAACTCTCGTCAAGTCCCATTGGTAAAGTTTTATTAGCACACACCATTGTGAATGAGCCCGCATGAAAGAAGCAGCATTTGACATTTCATGCAGCCGGCCATTTGCAAAACACAAATAAAACCAACTAGTGCCAGCAAAGGAGGATAAAAACTAAAAACTGAACAAAAATGGTAAAAAAAAAGGGAACTTGTTCCGGCAATCCACGAGGGAGGTAAGTCCCCTTTTCAGTGACTATTGCAAAAAGGGTGCACTCGCGGAATAAATAAAGGTGAGGGAAAACTAATAGGGAATCTCCATGAGACAACCTTCACAGGCAATTAGTGGAAAGGCCTTTGCTATACTAAGGCAATTGCTGCATTGGGCTGAAAGTTGCCTGTAAAAGGCGCCTCATGAAAATTCCCTATAACTTAAAATTGGTAAATATTCGCTGAGTAGCGGAACTCAGCTAGTAAGCGGTAAAATCCCGCTAGTCGACTGCAACGGCCAACGAAATATATATATATATGTATATATACATATACATATATTGGTGCAAATAAAAATTAAAAAGACACCAAAAAGTGCTAATTAAGTGAAAGTCCCTGATTAGCAGGGTAGTGAAAGTGTGAATAAAAAGTCCCTGAAACGCAGGGCACAAAGAGCAAATCGCCAAAAAGTGCAAGTCCCTGATTAGCAGGGCAGTGAAAGTGCGGTAAAAGACCCTAAAAAATCACGGCAACAAGCGAAAACTGCTACAAAGCGCCAAAAAGTGCAAGTCCCTGATTTGCAGGGCAGTGAAAGTGCGGTAAAAGTCCCTATAAAATCAGGGCAATAAGCGCAAACTGAAACAAATCACCAAAAAAGTGAAAGTCCTGATTAGCAGGGCAGTGAAAGTGTGGTGAAAGTCCCTCATTAGCAGGGCAGTGAAAGTGCGGTAAAAGACCCTTAAAAATCAGGGCAATAAGCGAAAACTGCTACAAAGCGCCAAAAAGTGAAAGTCCTGACTAGCAGGGCAGTGAAAGTGCGGTAAAAGTCCCTATAAAATCAGGGCAATAAGCGCAACTGAAAGAAATCGCCAAAAAGTGAAAGTCCTGACTAGCAGGGCAGAGAAAGTGCGGTGAAAGTCCCTGAGTAGCAGGGCACTAAGCGATAAGCGCAAAAAAATCAGCTTGCAAGTGAAAGTCCTGATTAGCAGGGCAGTGCAAGTGCGGTGAAAGTCCCTCATTAGCAGGGCATTGAGCGATAAACGCAAACAAAAAAAAATTATTATACAATTTTATACTAAATCGGCACCTCAGTCTCTTTCGCAGGATCGAGGCAAGACCATAAGCGCCATTGCAACAACCGCAGTGAGACCACAGCGAGCGCTCCAGCAAAAGAGCAGCAATAGCGACACTCCAACGCTCCACCGCGGGAGCGACAATACAACTAGGCCCCCACCAAGTGG